GATAGCACCTGTAGTGCAAAAGAAATGTTTTTTTGCAGTCTGTGTCCCTACTAGAGTGGTTTTCCATCCCTTTTTAATAATGGAATTAAAGGCTGCAATATGAATCTCACAGGCTCTGTGCCTTTTCCATGACTAACAAATGTAATTTTTGATTGGAGTTAAGCCTTTAAGTCACTGGGAATTTTACTATTCTTAAAAAATAAATTCAAGCTGGCAGTTTGTTAATTTGCTTCCACGTTTATAGATATGACATTTCAAAAATTTTTCACTGTGTATTTAATTTAAACAAAAAACATAATTCATTATAATGAATATATGCCAAATAATTTAAGAATAACAAAAGTTATAGTTTATTTAGAACAGATATCACAGAGAGTCACCTCAATGAATCATCAGTTCTGATTAATATCTTCTGACAGATAGATATTTTTTTTAAATAAAACTAGTTTTATAATTGATAAAATGTTTAGGCTAACGAGAGTGACAGACATATCAAAATCTTAGACATTCTGATTGTCCATATAGACAGTTGCTGCTATTTTATATATCAAGTGATAGTCCTTGTCAGGCTATTACATTGAAAAGAACCTATATTTAATGCAAAATTGACTTTTACCATATATTGCTCAGCTTATAGTCCAGTAGGTAGTTTATCCAGCATGGTAGCAACTGAACTAAGCATTATTAAACCCAAAAGCAAATATTTATCATATTATAGTTAAACAATTCTTGATGTGATTGCTGCATTCATTTTCTTTTTTAAGTTTTCTTTCTTCTATTTTCATCTGGTGATCCAGCAAGTAAGACTGTTGTTTTTCTAAAGGACAAGCTTTCCAGCAGAATGTATCAGTTACAGAGGTGTCAATTCCCTTAAGGCTAGCAGAGGTGCATACAATGATTAGCTTTTATTTATGTTAAACCTTTATCCCAAAAGGAGAAAAGAAATGGTTTGATGTAACTGCTCATAAAGTGTGAGTTGGAGTTTGGCTTCCATTTGTTAGTGTTTTTAAATATGCTAATATGACTAATCCTCCCCTCCCCCAAGAGACAATGCTGTTGTCCACAGGTTCCCCATGTGCTCATTCATCCAGAGTAGGGTCACTGTAATACAGGAGGTGTGTTACTTGCCAGATAATCAGTTGAAAACAGGGGGGGGGGAATCTAAGAAAAGAAAACTAATGCAGCCACCACATTTAATGTTGGTAAGCTTCAATATATTACATTTTTGGTTTGGAGTTTATTACTGCTTTAAGTTTATTTATATGTATTTTTCAGTACCAATGGTAGTATCAGTGCTTAGATAATGTAACAATGTATGATTTACATAGAAGTAAAACACTCCTATATTAGTCTCTTTGTTGTTCATCAGAGCTCAAAATGCCTTTATCTTTATCAAGTTATATAGTGGAGGAGGTGACAAAGAAAGTGAAATAAAGCATCACTACCCAATTATTGCTCAATAATTAATTGAGACTGTCATGAAATCAGGCAAGGTCCATCTGTTTATTATCTATTTATTTTAAATGTAAATTCAGAAAGCTCTTTACTGCAGTAAATCAAGAGCTGCGCTGATTGCCATTGTTAGATGAAGAAGTGTCCACATTTGGATCCGATTGCACAGTGTTCAATAGCTAGTTTTGTTCTGAAAATGCACAACTATTATTAGTCTTCATTAATACACAGAAAGTTCCAAAGCAGTAGAAGGCTGAATGAAAACGTTATCAATGCCTACAAATTACATTGTGGACAATATGGTTGGCAAAATTGAGAGAAAGTTTTGAACTAGGTTAGGTGCGTTCAGTTCTGGGAATTAAAAAAAAAACTTTCTTGCTTGTAGTTAATTAGGACAAATATAAGCAGTATTAATAATTGGTGATTAAAAAACATAGATGTAATTTAGTGCTAAAAATGTACTTATATTAGAACTGATATTTGCAAAACTTGGCACAGATTAATCCTCAGCAGGAATTCCTGCAATTAGACAATGTTACAAAAAAGGATCATGCATACACATCTTTATAAACTGCAATGTTGCTAAACAAATGTCAAATATAATGTAAACGCTTGAAAAAGTACAATGTTTTATCAGAATGTTATAAACATACTAATGTTGTGTTTAGTGCTTTGCATACAGATTAATTTGTGAGTATTAATTCCTCCTATAACTAACTGAATATCCCTCTTTATATTAAAATGATTTGGCTATGATATTGGCACTGTAAATGTTTCCTTAAATTTAGATTTTTGTTTTCAAAATGTAATTATTTATATGCTACTGCTAACAATTTGAAATATAATTTTTCTATAGTCTACATTAAACATATTAAATTGTATAAATTGCAATAATCTGCTTGAAATTAAGGAAACATATTTCAGTTTTAGTGCCTAAAAAAAACAACACAAGATGCACAAAACCCCCAAAATACAATAGGGTTAGAGTTTTAAAAAAAAATTGCCACCAAGGTGTATAAAACTATAAAAGTACTGATTGGTTGTTGAACAGCTGATCACATAGAAAGAAAAAAAAAAAATACAGTATATAGGCATATGGTGGGCTATGGGTGCACTCTTGTGCATGAATTTAAGCAGCAATTTACAATTTGGTTCTGGACTGGAACGCATACTAGATCTTACTTTATTGCATAACATTTTTAAATGGTCATGATTGATTGACGTTTTAACATTGTTTTGTACAAGAAAATGAATTGTTTATGAATAAAATGTTTTAATCATTGTAGCACCTGAAAAGTCCCCTCAAAAATTCTTATGTGTTATTGTTTCCAAGTGCAGTACATCTTGATCATTGATTGAATTAAGGCTAGGTTTACACCTATGCAATAGTCACAGCTTGAGTGGGGAATGCAAGAAAAAGGTCCCTGCACCTTTTTAAAAATGCAGTCCCACAGACATTTCCCACACTGGAAAATGTGCTGCGTAGAGGTGTCATCAAGCTTTCAATGCAGCCCCATGCTTCTGCTAGATAGCAGTGCAGTTTGCCTGCAGATGCCGGCAGGTGAGAAAATGAGTGCAATTTACACCCATTTTCACACTCTAAATATGTGAACCTAGCCTACAACCTATGCTATAGTATGGTTTTTTTAATATGGGTTTATTATTGTTTTATTAATGCGCTAACATTGAAAATAATCAAATATTTTCATGCTCATGTTTCAAACAAAAGCTGATTTTTACGTTAAATACCCTCATATGATTTTTGTAAGTTGTATTTAATTTGAAGGTATTTGAACTAACTTTGGCAATTGGTATTTTTCAAACATATATAATATATTTTTTTTTTTATGAGTCGAAATCAAGATTTGTAAAACTTTTTGATTTCTAGGCTATGTATGGAAAAAAAAAATAGACAAGATGATTTTATGTCTGCATCCTACAAGTAAAGGAAATGTTGGCTTAAAAGGCTTTCTATGATTTAGTGAGGACTGTAACAGTGACTGCATGTTATTTTAAGCCTGTAATCTGTCCATTTGGCTCATAAGTGATTGAAAAAATGAATATGGATTTTTTGTCATCAGCTTTTCTAATCTCTTTTTCTTCTGACTTGCATGGCAGCAGTTATATTTCTATTTCTATGAATGTGTGCACACATTTGCATCATGTGGCAGGGGCAGAATCAATTTACCACTTTTTACAGTCTTTTTTTTGACATCACTCTTCTATTTTTCTATGTTTCTGGTTTCAGGACATAATCCAACCTGACCCAGAATATTAACATATATAAAGCAATTGTGTGAAATGAAAGGTCTTTCCAGGGCTGTGTTCATCTGAACTAGTTAGATCTGCTAGTAAAGTGTAATTGTAGAGTAGCTTAAAATGTTTAAACTTTCAAAACTGTTGCTTCACACTTGAATGCATACTAGTAGTTGAATCAGTTGACAATTTGTAATCTGACAAAATCTACACAATGGAGTTTGGAGTTCACAAAAGATATAAACTGGTAGATTACCCTTTTCCCAGCATACAACTTTAAATTGAGATCAGTTTTAGATAGACTAAACATTTTTCAAATGTTTTAAAATTTGAAATACATCTAAACTTTTAGAAATAAACCAAAATTTAAACAAAATATTTATGGAAGTAGACTTCTTAGAAAATAAAACCTATTTTCTTTAACAATCAACGGCTTAGTGTAACACACAAATTGTATTTTGTCCTAAAGTTATTAGTTAATAAAATAAAAATATACTTTAGCAATTGTAATAAAAAGTTTCTGTGGCCTGGCTCTTCCCTTTTGGCAGGTGGTTTAAAATACTGAAAGAGTAGGGTTACAGAAAAGCAAATTGCTTTACATTGATGTCCTTAAGGCATATGTAATGGTACCCAGGAAAGTGCACAGTAAATTACTTTTTCATGCATGAGGAGAAAGGTCTATGGATGAGCAATTAAGATAAATTAAGATAATCTTTTACCTAAAATCTTACGGGTAGATATACAAGATTAGGAAACAGGACACTGTATGGTAAAGTATCTTTGCTGTATATTGGCCCCAGTGGATGCATGCATTGACCTATGCACTAAAGGGTAAATAAAATATGTACACCATTTTACATGTGCTGTCCAACTGGTGAGAAGTCTATACTGTTATAAAAAGAGTTTCCAGCTATATTCCAGTAAATTAATGTCACTAATATATCCATCACTGAAATGCAATGAAATATTTACATAGCAATTTAATCTGATGGCATGGCACCATAATACATTTTCATACACGCTTTTGTTATGCTCATCCTTTTTTATGAATCATTATCAGTGCCTATAACATTAATACAGAATTTGGAAAATAACCAGCTCAGTTTTCAAAATAATCCACCGTTTCAGATTTCATGAGTGATACTAAATTATGGCACTTCATGAATTAAAGGAATGGATACAATTTGCATTGGTGCAATACACCAACCAAATTACTCCATAATGAAATGAATTATGCTTTATAAGGCCTGCATTGCCGCACATATTTCCATGGGAGATTCCTCTGTTTATATTTAAAGGTAAAGGTAGGATACCCAATAGACCAAATTGAACAAACAGAAAGCAGTTGGGAAGAAAATCCGGGAGTAGGAGTCAATTTTTGCAACACGTATGTGTATCCTTCCATGTCGCCAAGCACCAGTTCGGCAATCCTCAAAACAGCAGAAGAAGCTGGCACAATCTTTTCCATCGAGGCACTCATACCCATATTCTTCATCCCTTTCTTGAAGATGTGTGGCATTATTCATTTGAATTGTTGCCGATCGTGGACGAATATCAATAGTAGGTGCCTATTATTATATGAGTGAAAAAAGCATACATAAATGTTATCACACTATACTGTGTATTATTAAAAATAATAATAATAATGATCATCTATTAGACCCTGGTCATACCGGTGCAACTTGTCATCCAACTTTGTTGGAGTCAGACCGATTTTGAAAGTAGTACATGCACTACTTTTTGCAAGTTCAGGTGTGACTTGCATAGACATCTGAGCATGAAGTCACATAGATATTCTGAAAGTTGCACCTGAAGTCTCACTGACATCCGACTTTGAAATCGTGGACTTCAAGTGAAGTTGCACAATTTCAAAATCAGATTTGGTGTGACCGAAGACTAATATCTGAATGTACAATAATAGGGGTTAATATTAATTCCTTATTAACAAGATCTATACAAAAGTGCAAAAGAACAGAATATATCAAAACCTTGTAAAATAACTTTAAAAATGTACTGTATATGACAAACGTCCAGGACTTTGTATTGTGTTATATCCACATAAAACTGTGAAAATGTTTTTACCATTGTTTGTACATTTCTAAAACATTCCATAGCTTTTGTAAAACAAAAGTTGGTTGTACATTTTTCATGAATGTGTAAAAAGGGCATATACAAGTAAGCTTAATATATTTCATACAAATAGGGGTTTATTTACTAATAGAAACTAGGCTGTTCACTTTGCAAGGGAATTTTCTCTAGAGCTTTGTGAATGTAGTGAAGTTACACTTTGCAAACATTACCCAATCAAGGAGATAGAAACTAGCATTTTTAATTGCACATGATTGGATGATGTGCAAGCAAAAATAGAATTTTTTAAAATGTCCTTGCTAGTGATTTAGCTTACTGAATTCAATGAAAATTTACCTGGAAAAGAATACTAAAGTAAGATTTTCTTGGAAAGTGAGAATTCCCTTGGGAAGTGAACATTCTTATTACCTTTAGTCAACCAACTCCATAGTGTTTAGTTTTGATTTGCTTGACTGTCAGCTAACGTTTCTTTAGGCTAAGCATATGTTCTTAATTACAGCAATTTTCAGTGAGGGCATAGGGGAAACAATTCATTGGTGCAACAAAATGTCAGTGTTATAATGGTTAGATTACATCAGCAATATGCTACAGACAGGCTTCTTTCTATTGGATTTTCAACAGATTTCTATATGTGAAGACACATTGTAATGTCATAAACACTATTTCCACACTCTAATATTATTTCCTGGTAGCACAGAAAAGTCTTCTGAAAACAGGAGATATTTGCAGATCCAAAAAATAAAAGGCTGATTCCTAATTTTAGCACAGTGGAAAAAAAACATGCAAATAATTAATGTATGCCTCTTTGTGGCCAACTGTATGTGTTTGCTTGTTACACTATTTCATGAAAAAAGTATGGTCTATATGTTAACTTTAAAAAGATGACCAGTGTGACCAGATATCCTACAAACTTGGATTTTTTTCTTTTGATAAGTTTTGTATAAATATTTTACAGTCAGAGAAACTGATGCTTTAGAGAGGTGTACATTGGCTACAGTATACAAAAAATGTGTATTCATAATTAAATCATTTTCTTTTTAATTTGTCTGCACAAAGCTTAAAAGCCTAAACTTTCTGAATTTTTGACATTTCTCATTTGAAAATGGAAATGTCCGTTGGTTTATTATTATTATTTTTCCTAGTTTATTATTATTATTTTTCCTAATTTATGGATATTTACACCAAAATAATTATTACATTCATTTTTCTCTATATTATAAACTAAGTTTATTTGGTTGCTTAACTGAACAATTTGTACAATAATATAGCAGTACCATAACATTTGTCCCAACAAATATATCACAGTTTTGTATTTGTCCTATATTTCAGCTAACCAATACTATTAACTACCATAGAAGATTTAGAAAACTAAAGAGGCAAAGATAATAAATCTAATTTGCTAAGTTAAAAAAACATACTCACCCTCTAATCGCCGGTAATACAGCAAGGATAATTTATGTTAATTTAGTTCACTGAACATGATCTGCATATGGCTATGCATGGGGGTAAATTAAAGTAGTACGTTTTTTACTTAGCCAAATATCAACACATTTTTAAAGATAAATTGAAAAAAATAAATTTAATGAAGTAAATAGATCTTCCCCAAGATTAGTGAATTAGAAAAATTACCCACTGGAGTGCACATGCACCTTTGATATGGTTCTACAGTTTGTGTGCATGCAAATTCACATATCATCATGATTGTAACTAATATTAGAGCATGCAGCTACTTTTCATCCACGAAGCACAAGATTTATTATTTTGTTTACATTTTTATTATGATCTAATATTTTCATTTTAATATTAGAACATTATTATTTACACATTGTTTAGCACATTAACCACTTGCCTTCCAGACGAATTACCCCCTTCCTGACCAGACCATTGTTTTAAAATATGGCACTGCATTACTTTAACTGACAGTTGAGCGGTCATGCAATGTTGTAAATAAATGAAATGTATGTTCTTTTTCCACAAATAGAGCTTTCTTTTGGTGGTATTAGATCACCTGTGTAATTTTTATTTTGAGTGCTATAAACAAAAAAAGACCAACATATCCAGTAAAAAAAATAAAAAAATAAACTTTCTTCATAAATTCAGGCCAAAATGTATTCTGCTACATGTCTTTGCTAAAAAAAAATCCCAATACGTGTAAATTAATTGGTTTATGTGAAAGTTATAGCTTTTAAAAATGGCAGTATATATACTGGATTTTATTTTTACTAGTAATGTGACGAGCGACTTATTGCGGGACTGAGAGACTGTGGCGGGCATTCTGACACTGGGTGGGAACTGACTAACTGTCACTGACATCCCCAGTGATCAGTGCTAATAAAAAGCACTGTCACTGTATTAATGTCACTGGGCAAGAAGGGGTTAAAATCTGGGGTGATCAAAGGGTTAGCAGTGTGCTGTGTTTTACATACTGTGCTGTGTGTATTTTACTACTAGAAAAGCTGATCTGTATTGCTCTGCTGTGCAGAGCTATTTATTTTGGTATTCAAAGCAGCCTGTTCATGGTGACAGGGGATAGAGCTGTGTTGTTTACATACAGACTTCTTCGCCGACGATCACCGAGCCCCAGCCGAGAATCATCATCAGGGATCTGGTGATTGACATGCTGAGGAGCCAATAGCGCGTGCGCCCCCTACCCGGAAATGCAAGATCACGTATATATACGTGATTTTGCGCGTCCTTGCCACCCTCTAGCAGTACTTCTGTATAATTGTTCATATTTAAAACCTACCAATTATATTTGGCACTTAAAAATATGCTTATGTGGTCAGAAAAGAGATTTAATTTCAAATGTAATACTTAGTTATTGTTTTACACTATTTTAAAAACTATAAATATTCAATGGATCACATATTAGTAATCATTATTCCACAGAGGGTATAGAAACAGCTAACCTAGAATCCTGCAGCGCACCCAGTGTTAATGACTACCTTTTTTGATAAATTAGATCAAAATTTTGCTATAATAGTAAATAAATTGTAAACTACATGTGCACATGTTTGCACATATTAATTACTAAGCGTTTGTGCTTAGAATCAGTGAGGTAATGTTCAAATTAATTGGATAATATAAAAGTACAATTTAAAAGTAGTTTATTATGCAAGTGTACAAAGTCATATTTTTTGTATTCTATATGATTATTTACACAATATACTTAAAAAATATTGTTACAGCGCATTTAAACCAAAGAACAAAAATGTAATATATTATAGATTACCAGTCCTCTGATGTAGTGACTTGATTCATTTTGTTTTTTCAAGTTTGTTTTCTTCACCTGGTGATCCTGCCAGTAACACCCTTTCTGTCCTAGAGTTGCAAGACTAATGCACTGCATCTATGGAGGAGCAGTGTTGTCACTGTAGAACAGGACTGTCTCTCATTTGGAACAAAGTCCCTCTGTCCTCCTCATTTGTCCCTCAATTTGGTCTGATCTATATAGTTGTATATAATATGCACTACTTAGCAATCAAAAAGTGTTTAACAGTTCTAAACCTTTCAACCAATTTCTAAATTGCTGCATTTATAAATCCCAAAAGCCAATACAATATAAAGGAATAGTAGTAGTAAAAAAAATCACTTGTGAGTTTGCCAATAATTTTTTTGTACAATTCTCCTTTAAGAGGGGGTGTGTCAGAGGTGTGTCCTATGCCTACATACTTTTGCTAATAGGTGTCCCTCATTCCCATCTCAGAAATTTGGGAGGTATACTAAACACTGATCCCCTCCTCATCTCCATAACACAGGGGAGTTCTCTAGTTCCCAGAGTTGAACTGGGCAGGACTTAAATGAAGCAGATACAGCTTTCAAAGGTATTTTTAACAGATCAAAAAAGGATTAAATAAGAGTGACTTATTTGAAGTGATCAAATATAATCTATTTTTATGTACATAGGGGTTTATTTACTAAAGCTGATTCACTCAGAATCCTGTGCATGGGGGGCTTGGCTAGCCATGGCGGTGAGCGGATGCAGCTAACTCTAGCTGCCGGTTCACAAGACCTCCTAACAGTGGACTTTGCCTGTTTCACACCTGCTCCATCCCCTTCTCTGGATGCTGAAGCAACATAAATCCCATAGCACCTCCAGGGACCGCTCGACCACAGGCTTGAGTCGTTTTTTCACCCCTCAGACTCCGGACTCTCACAGTGTGCTGGAATCCAACATGGTGCCCGGGTCAGCCAAGGTCCACCACGAGGAGTGATCTGGTTCTCCCCATTGTGGGAGCCACACATCCAACGTGCCCAGCTGCTCCTCTGAAGTGAGGGCTGTTTCCCCTATTGTTACACCCCGGCTGAGTGCCTTACATTCCCCACCAAGGTAAAAGGAGTCAGCACATTCATCTTAATTTGGCCTCACTCCCAACTAAAACTGAACTGGAACACTGGGCCCTACACATCGAATCCTCACTGAAAAGGGAGGTGGATGAAGTGAAAGCCTAGGTCACAGATGCGGAGGCATGAGTGTCGG